AAATCGCCGCGTCAATGAAAGAACGGCTCACCTCGCTCAAATCGATGACTTCGCCGGTGACTTCATCAATGACATCGCTGTAGCACTTGCCCACCACAGAATACTTGTTGAAAGTCATTATGTTCTGCGTCAACGTCCCGGTTTTGTCGGAGAATATATATTCTATTTGGCCCAGCTCCTCGTTTAACGTAGTAGTCCTTGCTTTCGTGTGCATTTTCGTGGGCGCGTAGTACATCTCCTCGTTCCAATTTATCAAAAATGACTGAACGAATCGAATAACTTCGACACTCACATACAAACTGATTGGCACCACCGTGTTCAATACGATAGAGTACGAAAAGAACACGAGTAGGGCAATCACTGTGGCACCGGTAATGGGCTCGCTCGGCACTAACGAGTCCCACGGTACGCTTGGAAATAACGGCCCACAAGGCTCTCCCAAATACCACAGCCGACCATGCAGAACAGACATAAGGAAAGTAAAAAAAACACTATCCCAATGATGAGAAGATTCAGCAGTCTATCTATAGAGGTCCTCTTAAATTTGATCTTCCCTGAGTTTTGCATCAGTTTGGTATCCTTGCCCGCAAAGATCACCATGCCATAGCACCACTGCCTATTCCTAACCACGCAGCCCCGTAAAATAATCTTGTTGTTATCCAATGCGTACCTGCAATTTTATTTGTGAAATATTAGTATGACGTCGGCACCAATAGAGTGGCGTGATAGACAGTAACTAGATAAATTTAATGCGAGCAATGCAAGAACCAGATATCTTTAGGTTCTGCAAGAAACTGCAGCCTTCTGTGTGAATATTCCATTTTATCTGGCTCTCGCTCCGCTCCGCTCCGCTCCGGTTAGAAAAACCTACCTTCTGATACAATATTCAAAAATATTATATTATCTTCTATAATCACTCTTGATTGCTTGTACCATCCTCTCTAATTGTTCATTGGAAATTACACTGTTGTAGTATGCTAGGAGACCAGATTCCTTGACGATATGTGTTCTTGTACAATATTGTGTGCATGCGACAAAGAATCGTATGGTATTGTATGTTCCTGTAGGATCAGCGACTTCCAGCCATAATAACCTGGCATGTTGATCTCAAATAGCTTCTCCTCCATGATTTCTAAGCCCTTGATTTTGTCATGCCAAGTTTGTCTCTTTCTTTTCCACTTGGCTTTCCAGCTTACAAGATCTTGAATGGGTGGGTATATCGGTTCTACCGCAACTTCGGTTTCATTCTTAACTTCGCTGATTGCTGATGTACTGTATCTCTTGTAGTTGCCATATTTGACCACTGTATTAAACAGTAGCCTCTGTCGAATATTAGCGAACATACTTCTAAACAGAGGAAACAATATTTTTTTAAAGCTTTTTGTAATGTTTCCAAGTTTTTAAATACATATAAAATACATCTAAATAATATATCTAAGAGCAACGACACGTACCTTACAGATTATGTTGTCCTCCACTTAAATATCGTAAACTAATTTGTAAACATCGTTTCAATTTAAAAAATATCGACACTACAGAGAAATATATAATCAATGTCTATTAATGTTAGTCGTTATAATGCATTTACATACACGTCAATTCAACCATCACTTTATAGGTTATATTATGTCTTGGAATTGTACGTACACTTTAAGTACAAATTTTGCCTCAGTATTCAAATATCGTTATAATAAAAAAATAATGGTGAAATGTAGCGACAATTAGTAACGATTTCACGAAAATTCTTTTATAGTTTTAGCTTCGAAACACCGTACAACGTAGCCACATCTGTCTTTGAAAAATTACAGTTATGAAACACGAGAGCAGAGAGGTTAGAGACTTAGAGGATCTGAAAGCGGAGTATGCCGGCCTTTCGGCTATAACGCTAAAATGCCCTCGTACACTATCGCCCTCTGAAGAAGTGGATCCAAATTACATAGCAAAATCAAGATTTCTTCACAATTTATGATGCGTGTCCGTACTAAATCCACTTTTTGAGTCTGCTGGAGCTTCATTCTCGAAAAATTACGCATTAAAACAATGACATTAAAAAGTATATTTCCTTACTTTCTATGCGTAATTTTTCGAAAATAAAGCTCCAGCAGACTCGAAAAGTGGATTTAGTACGGACACGCACCATAAATTGTGCAGAAATCTTGATTTTGCTATGTAATTTGGATCCACTTCTTCAGAGGGCGCAATAGTGCACGAGGGCATTTTAGCGTTACAGCCAAAAGGCATGGACACAGGACACAGGTATATTTTCTATGTTCATGCCAAAAGGCCGGCATGTCCGCACTCCGCTCTCGGATTCTCTCAGCACGTAGTGTATGTATGTATGTATGTACAATACGTATACAGATTACGGCCGGAGTGCCCGGAGTACACGTTCCCCCTCCAGACCCACCAGTCCGTCGCGACGAGCGCTGCCCGCTGCCGTTGCTTCGTCGCGCCGCGGTCGTGCGTTCGGTCGGGACTAGGCGAGCGCGGATCGACGAGAGCGGAGCGGAGGCAGAGCCAGCCAAGTCGCGGGACCTGTGGGGTCGGGTGGCCCCCCCCGAGCATTGTCGTGTCGAGGCGAGCAATCGAGACGGCGTATCGAGCGCGCGAGAGCGACGTACGAGACCTTCTGTCGTAACATCATCCGCTTACTCTTGGCTCGGCACGCGCGAGAGTACTCGTCGGCGTTTCGCGACGAGGGGTCCTCTCCTACACACGTCGGTGGTATCGCGTACATACACGCACGTACTACACACGAGTGCGAGTCCCTGGAGGCCGCGCGGAGATGCCGGATGCGCTTTGAACGCGCGTGGTCGTCGTGATCGTCGTCGTCGTCGCCGCAGCCACCAGCCGCAGCCGCCAGCCGCTTCCTGAGGCACGCCGTCCCCGCGCCGCGGGATCGTCGGCCGGGAGATCCCGGGACGCGAATGCGCGCTCCTCCTCGCGGTGCCGTCCTCGCGCGAGGATCGCACGCCGCGTCCTCGTCCACCCGAAAGCGCCGCTATGCTGACGCTGCAGCAGCAACAAACGTGAGTAACCTGTCGCCCGGAACCGAGGCACCTTGCCTCCGACACACGCACACACACCGCTCGCGTGCCACAGTCTCGCACACGGTTTTTTTTTTTTGGAGAACGGCGTTTTTGGAGCGCTCTCGCTTATCCTCTTCTCTCTTTCGCTCTGTCTCGCTCCCTCTCTCTCTCTCTCTCTCTCTCTCTCTTTCTCTCTATCTTTGTCTCTGTCTCTTTCTCTCCCTTTTTTTTCTGGAACGAAATATCGCTTAGTTAGCGGCCGCTCCACTTTTTGTCCGCCTTTGCATTATCGCCGACACGCGTGTGTCTTAAATTTTACAGCATTGTCCGCTTTCGCGTTGCGCTTGAAATTTATACTCGTACAGAGCGACGACGACGGTTGGGAGAATACGGTGCGATATTTTTGTCCGTCGGGCGATCAGCTGTTGCTGTTGTCGAATATTGATTCGCGTTCGCCGCGCGCGAGGCCTGTGAATTAATCATTGAGCTTCGCGGTATGTCGGAGATGCGGATTCCACTTCGAGTTGTTCGAGGGGGGAAAATTAGCCGTTAGCTCTTCGAACGATTTGAAGCGACCATACGCACGCCGCATATGTCTGAAAAATATGCGTCGAAAGCGGGGAAGCCTGCTGCGGCCGCCGCCGCCGCCGCCGCTGCTGCTGCAAAAACCGAAAAAAGAAGGAAAAAATATTGGCACGACACGTAACGCGCTCTCCGGCGAAGCCGTACGTAAATTTATTTGGCGAATTTTTATCTCCGCTTTACTACACGGAAACCGGACGGCGCGCGGCTTTGAAGTGGTAGTGCATATTTATCAAGCGCAAACTGCTATCAATTGCTTTTAATTGAACGGTGTATTTAATGTAACGTCGATAACATAAATGCTGTATCGATCATCGCGATTTAATTTCGACGCTTATAACGTCTGTGCAAACGTTAATACTTTTCACGCGTGACGGGAAACTTGCATAAATTACGAGCGATGCGGTGGTATACACCAGCTCGAGAGAAAGCACGGAACGCGCCGGTTGTTTCGAGCGTTATTTTCGAGAACGAATTTCAATACAGTATAACTACGTTATCGTAATTTAATTTAATGCGATGTACGGTTTTTTTTTTTTACTTTACAACGCCGTATACCGCGACTCGTAAAGTCTACATCTGAAATCTCAGAGATTTTAATCCCCGAGCGCCTCCGCGGCTCTCCAGCCGGGATATCTCTACAAGTCGCGCGGAATCCGGCTCTCGTATTACGTCCCGACGTATTATTGCAGCCCTTCGATACGGTTTTTTGCCAGCGACGTCTCGAATGGCCATCGTATCTGCGTCTACGGGGCGATAATTGGAATGCCATCGTCTATCAGTCGCGCGCGCGATAAGAATGCGCTTTGCAGATCGGCTTCGTGACGCGCCAACGGACCTTTCGACGATATCCCGGGATGTGTGTACGCGCGGATTCATTGGCGCAAACGTCATCCGTCCTCGGCGCCCCGCCGTGTGTATATATGCGTGTGCCGCTCGAATATTCATACCACTCCGGTAGACTCGAGTTAATTGAACTATTAGACGCCCGTATTCTCGCGTCTCTCGCCCGCCGCCGTCGTCGCCACCCGGTGTCTCGCGACGCGTCGCCGCGCCGGTTGGTCGGGTCGCTCGCTGCTGAAGAGATCGGTCGGTTTCTCGATAAATAAAGCTCACACGCGGATGTCCGCATTCGCGCGCGCGACACGCTCTACTCGGCCTATCGATTTTCGCGCTTTACACCACAGGTCGTAAACATCCTGCAGTTAAGTCGCAAGCTAGCGAATTCTATGTGCCTCTCTCTGAATATACCGAGAGAGGTGCGAGGGCCGGGACCTCGGACCTTTTCTCTCCGTCGTCGAAACCGACCGAAGACGCCGAGAAACGAATAAAAGGTTGGCTGAACGAGAAATATTGTTATATGCTGATGTTTTTTTGTTATCAAAAATACTTTTTTTTTCGCGAAACTTCAAAGGCGATAGAACGGCTAAGCCGAGACCTTCACATTTCCATCACCGAGCCATCATCGGTCCGCCCACAGCATCGTAATTGATCCGTAAGCGGCGAACTCGCTTTAAAAAATCTCGAGTTTCACTTTAATCAATAGTGTCGCGTGTTGTGTGCACGCCGCTATGTAAGTTCCTTCCGATTACTATATCGCGCGCACTCGGCGGCTCCCGCTTTTTGATATGAATATCATGACGGAGTACGTTTACCTTAGATTGGCTGTATTGCTATATATTTCAACATGACCTACGTCGAGCCCTGATAAAAACTCTTTTTCTTTCGGCGAAACTTCCGTTCACTCTTTATCTCGACGATAATTTATCACAGATTTAAACAAACACGACAAGCATTTTGCCATCTTAATTCCATTCGCTCTTCGTCGCTTCCTCTAACATTAATTATTATGATTAATTTTTAATATTTTAATATTTTACATTAAAAAAAAAATTACAATCTGAAATCACTCGAAATGTGCTCGGAATGTGACGGGAAATTTCGAAAGGACCTTTCGACCGTTAATTTCGGAAGATTAAGCTATCATCTCTATCTAATCCCTTTTTAACGATTATGAACCTTTAATAGATCCGCCCCGAGCGTCATTTCAATATTTTCAGCATTGAATTTAATTAGCCAATTAGTCTCTAATTAAGATTCAAGCGGAATTTTGTGCTTGCTGTTGACAATCGCAAACAATTTAAAATGAATTATACATGAAGTAACATCGAATAAAGTGTTCCGTCGCGATTTCAGAGGCGCAGAATTTTGTTTCATTTGCAGCAATATCTTGATACTGGTATTAAAATAACTGGTATTAAATAGATTAATTTTCTTTCCAAATCAAGCTCCAGTAATTTCGAGCACAATAAGAGCGTAAATTTTTATTCTGGCCAAGAACGAGTTTTTTTGCTTGCAACATAAAATACTGCAATAACTTACCGCATTTAATTATTCTTGGAGAGATTGATACATGGCTTTCTTAATATTATTTATTTTGCAAGGCAAAGACTGCGTGTTGCTCCTTTGAGTCATTCAGTCTTTCAAACACCGTCTTTAGACAATGAGCGACAATAATCCTTTATTGGAATTACTCCGATTATTCTACCGTTCAAATGGTCTTAAAGAAACGTTATTAACAAAAAAAAAAAGAAAAAACCGTATCTTTGACTGACGTTCGTGGAGATGAGCTTTCACATTACGTATCCATCGCAAGAAATTAACTAATCTAGTGCGCGCTTCGTGCTAAAGATGACTTCACCCTTTAGCGGGAGAAAAAGGACCTTGGCATTAGCCTCTAATCGGGCGCGAAACGCGCTCGCCGTGCATTATCCTGGCGTCTTGCCTCATCACGTACGCGCCCTGCCGCCGCGCCGCCGCGCCGCACGCGGACAGACAAGTCACGTGTGACTGTGAGAACCCGTGTGTGCGGAAAACCGCTAGGTTTTAAAACAACGAGAGAGGCGCATTTCCCACTTACGCGCGTTCGCGCGTATATACGTGCCGATTACGGTACGCCCATCATTATTACGCTTTATGCATTTGCGATCCGTTAAAAGTGGCTAACGTTAACGCGGCGGCCGAGCTCGAGCCTTTTTTTTTTTTCGCGGCGGGTTTTTACACGGCGGGGCACGGGACCGGAAGCGCGCGCCGCCGATGGTCACATGAGATTTCGCGAGAACGACCGACTTTTTGCGCCAACGCTTTTGCGCTCCCCCTAATTGCGGGACGTTCGCAATATCGGCCGCTGCGCGCCCGCGGCATCACGGTTCAAGAGTAACGATTTCCCTCCGATTTCCACAGGTTTTTCCTGGTCCTTCTCGCCCAACAGTTTATACTTCAACCTTGCGCAATCTCTCGACCGGCGATCCGTCTTGGTACGTCCAGCAAACCGCGTTTGCAGACCGTGGGGGGGGGGGGGGGAGCGGGAGCGGTTAAAATGTAAATTTATTCCGTCAGTTCTGCTCTTTTAATTCATCATGATACACTTCCGTTCGTTATTTCGCGTTATTTCAGCGGTACGGTTAAAACAAAAGTTAAAACCAAGTTCGTCCATAAGTTCTTTTTTAAATCTTCTCTAAAGCTAACTTCTTCCTATTGGAAAGATTGTTACGAAGTTAAGATTACAGAAAAAAATGGATTTTTTTTTTCTGTTGTAGAGATAATATTAATCTTAGCGTTCGCGTTAGAGCCAAGGTAACCGGAGCGGTGTTTTACCATTGGAAACGCGGAAAAGGCATCGAGCGGCAAAGCGGTAGATTGTAAACTTCGAGCTTGACCGTTAGCCTACGTACGCTACGTTGTATCGACGTTCGCAACATATATATATATATATATATGTGTACAACATTTGAAAAACGCTTAATACCGATCCGGAACTACAAGGGGGAAGAGGGGGGGGGAAGAGTCAGCTGGCCTTTCCAGCGATATGCTTCGCTAACGCCGTTGCACGCGTGTAAATTGTACCGCAGATGCTGCCTCGTATCCGCGTATTACGCCCACTTAAAAAATAATCTAAACCTCCATCGCGAGGCATTCGCCGCCGTTCAGCGTTTCGCGCTGCCGATTTGCCATTTCCGCGTTTATATACGGCGCCGTGCGGTGTGCCATTTCGTCGAGTATCGAGTGTCGAGTGTCGGGAACCTTCCACCTCCCCCCCACGCCCCTGCGAAATCCGTGGTCGTCGAATTTCGTCAACCTGTTGTCGTTTAATTTGTCGTCTCCGGTGGCAAATTCGTCGGCAACCGTGAGGTCGATATACGATTTTACGCTGCGATCGCGTCGCCGCGCCGCGCCGCGTCGGGTGACAAGGCCGTGACATTTTCCGTACCGGTTTTCCACGGCGACGGCCTTTTGTAAGCCACGCGAGCGTTTCAAAACACGGGAGATACGGCTGGTTGTGTTCCCCGGTACACTTTGTGATAATACTTTGAGGGCTCTGCGCGGAGAGGCGGAGGCAGAGCGGCGTCGAAACGCTC